TGTGAAAAAGTGTTGTCAAGGATGTTGAGAGATTGGAAGCCTTGCACACTGTTGATGGGAATGCAAAATGGTGTAGCAACTTTGGAAAACAGTAGGGAGGTTCATCAAAAAATTAAAAATAGAACTACCATATGATCCAGTAATCCCACTTCTGGGTATTTATCCAAAAGAATTGGAATCAGGATCTCCAAGAGATGTTAGCACTCCTATGTTTATTGCAGCACTGTTTGCAGCAGCCAAGATGTGGAAACAACTTAAATGTCTAACAAAGGATGAATGGATAAAGAAAATGTAGTACTATGCAGCCTGGAAAAAAAAAAGGAAATTCTACAATATGCAACAACACAGATGAACTTTAAGGACATTATTCTAACTGAAACAAACCATTCACAGAAAGACAAGAAGACAAAGAAAACTGCATGATTCCATTTAAATGAGAGATCTAAAATAGTGTGGGAGATCAAGATTTGGCCACCCTGAAATATATCTCTTTACCTTGATTGTTTTCTCTGACGGACATTTGACCTCCCCCCGCTAACTGCCTAAAGAATTTGACATAGTAACTCCTTCCTGGAACAGATCTTCTATCTGATGGCTGTAATATAATGTAAAATAGATGTTACAATAGGAAAGGCACCAACAGGCCCATCTTATCGAAAGTTCTGTTTCTCTGGCCACATTCTCTGGATGTGCCAGACAAACATTTACATTTATAAGGGAAATCTCCATTTGTAAAGATATCTCCCTCTCTGCATTGGGAAGAGGGGGCACGACCTCATTTCTAGAAACTTATCAGTGTGGAAGGTGAGGCCTTAAATCTGCATAATAACTTTACTCTTGTTTACAGTGCTTTAGTGGTAATCTCCTGTAACTGACTCCTCCCACCCCCAACATCCTCCTTTGTCTTTAGCTGAAGATGGTATTTAAGATGAGAATTTCTGCTATTGTGTTGAGAAACACAGTGTCCCTGGTTTCTCCCATGTATACGTTATTAAACTTGGTATTATTTTCTCCTGCTAACCTGTCTTGTTAATTGTTTGGCCAGCCATAAGAACCTTAAGGGAAAGGGCAGAGGGGGATTCTCCCTCTTCCCCCACAATAGTCAGATTCATAGAATCAAAGAGTGGAATGGAGGTTACCTTGGGCTGGGAGAGGGGGTGATGAGGATTTACTAATCACGAGGCATTGAAAGCTCATCCAAGCAAGATGAAAGCTCTAGACATTTGCTGTAAAACACTGTACTTACAGCCAACAGTAATGTATTGTATACTTAGAATTTTGTTGAGAGTATATCTCATGTTAAGTGTTCTTTACACATTACAATTAAGTTAAATTTTTAAAAAATGAGCTACCACTGCGCACCTATCAGAATGACCAAAATCCTGTCGATGCAAATAATCCATAACCAATCTATAAATCAAAATTAGAGTGACTTTATTACGAGCCAGATCTGAGGACTAGCCTGGGGCCTTCCTTCCCCAAGGAAGGAAGGGCACCAAAGAAGTGGGGTGTACAGAGTGGTTATATACCATCAAAGAGCATCTACCACATATGATTGGAATGTCCATTTTACAACAGTCACGAGATCGCCTCACCAGCACAGTGATTCACACAGCAATTGATGAACACAGCAGGTAGTAGGTCTGTGGTCTTGAGCTGGGTGGTCACAGCAGGTCAGCAATCAATCCCTAGCCTAGGGAGAGATGCTTATCCTTAAGGAAATGCTGATGTGGGGGAAGTTATTTTATCTTTAAGGGCATTGTTCTTGTCTTTGGGACATAGTATATACTTAAAGCAGATAAACAATGCATGCTCAACAGCCACATCAGGCCCTTTTGGAAAAACAAGGTCAGGCCAAATTAGTTTTACACGAAATGGCTTCCTCATATTCTCCAATATATCCTAAAACACTAATAACACCAAATGCTGGTATCAAACGTTCAAAAATAGATCAAGTAAAACCGATGAACCACTAAAGTAGTAATTAGTAAAATTTATTGCACACACACCAAAAAGACAGTTCATGAACCAGGAGCACTCAAACCAAAACATGAAATGAGGCTCAGGGGTATATTCTTATAAAGCAGCTTATATAGGTGGAAACAGTGACTGTTTATTCTTCACAGTTATTGGTTATCTAACGAATTAAAATTTTCCTAAATGAAATGGAACTGGTCAGTGTTTACCTCATATCAACAGTTCAAGTTTTGCTTATGATTTCCAGAGTCATAAGCAAGAAATGACTCAGGCCAAGTTAGTCATGTAAAAGAGCTAAATAAAGCTTTGTGTGACTAAACTGGTTTTGTCTACTAGGGGGATTTTCAAGGCTGGTCTCCTTTTGTTTTGTTTGTTTTTTTTAAGATTTTATTTATTTATTTATTTTCCCCCCAAAGCCCCAGTAGATAGTTGTATGTCATAGCTGCACATGCTTCTAGTTGCTGTATGTGGGACTCGGCCTCAGCATGGCCGGAGAAGCGGCGTGTCGGTGCGCACCCGGGATCCGAACCTGGGCCGCCAGCAGCGGAGCGCACGCACTTAACCGCTAAGCCACTGGGCCGGCCCTCCTTTTGTTTTTGATTTTAACTCTGTCAAGAATGTGAAGTAACAGGAAATCTCATTCATGGCTGATGGGGATGTAAAATGGTACAGCCACATTTGGAACACAACTGTAGCAGTTTCTTACACAGCTACACATACTCTTACCATACGACCCAGCAATTACAATTCATGGTGTTTACCCAAATGAGTTGAAAACTTATATCCACACTAAAACGTGCACTTGGGTGTTTATAGCAGCTTTATTCACAATTGTCAAAACTTGGAAGCAGCCAAGATGTCCTTCAGTAAATGAAAGGATAAATAAACAGTGGTACATCTAGACAGTGGAATATTCAGTGCTAGAAAGAAATTACCTATCAAGCCATGAAAAGACATGGAGGAACTTAAAGGCATATTTCTAAGTTAAAAAAGCCAATCTGAAAAGGCTACATACTGTATGATTCCCGCTATATGACATTCTGGAAAAGGCAAAACTATCAGTGGTGGCAAGGGGTTAGAGGGAGGGAGGAAAAAATTTTTTTAAATAAAAGAAAGCCTAGCTGATAAGCAAAAGTCAAAAAGCTTAGTGATATACAAGGTTTGGGGGAAAATTTTTTATGCGCTCTTCTCAATTTATCAAAGACCAATTTTCTGCAGCATTTGGGAAGCGATCGTTGTTATACAGGGTGGTGGAGAGCATGGGGGTTCTGTTACTTCTACATTTTCCCACTTGTTCCTCCTATTTTAATACCCTCTCCCCCGTCAGTACCCTTAACACATTCACACACACACACATATACACACACACATGAACACCGGCAACACCATCTTCCTCAATTATTCAAATATAATTGGTGCTTCTTTTTTCTAAACTTTCCCCAAGGGTACAGCACACCATGCTTCTTGTTGGCTTCTCACACCGGGCCTAGGTTTCTTCTGTATCTGGTCTGTTATGCAAGTTTTCATTTTTCCATATATTTCTCGACCTTAATTTTTTGTTGACATCACTCTCTACTATCTCCTTTTCTATCCTCTTTGTGTTTGCAGATTCTTACCCCTTTTTCATTTCTTTACTATCTTTTTAATAGAGCTTCAGAGGGATGCAGAGACAAATGTATATTACTAATCTATCATGTTTAACCAAATGTCTGAGAAAATTTTTTATTGTATAGCTTTTTGTATTATTTAAGTTATATTTGGCATGTATTTATATTTATACAGGTTTAGAAATAAAATTTACATTTTAAGCCAATTTAACAAAATTAATTAAATTTACACCAAGAATACACAACTAATACATAAGAAAATGTATTAATATTATAAGTGTAGCTCATTCGTAAAATCTACAAATACAGCCACCAAGAAAAAGTAAAAAAAAAAAAAAAAAAAAGTAAAAGAAAATGTTCACGAAGATGTAAGAATGAGGAAAAGAAAAATATTTTAGAAAGAATGGACATTTCAAAGCCCGTAACATTTGCAGTCATTCTCACCATAATAGCCACTGCAGAACTGGAGAACATACATGTCCTTCACTCCTATACTCAAAATCTTTCTCCCAAGCAAGAAAAGTACTCTTAGTGTGTCAATAAACAGATATCAATTAAATAAGTTTGCGCCAATATTTGCAAAGACCAGCTGTGTATTTGCAGTGCAATGCAGTGGTTGAATTTTTTTATTATTCTTATCACTACACTGTCTTCTGTTACTCCCATACCGTCTCCCGATTCCATGATTTTTCACCTTCTCTGAGAAGTTGCAAAACGGGAGTTAGAGAAACTTACAGAAATTCCCTCAGCCAGTGTCACTATTTACCTCGCTATGAAAAATTCTCTTCAAAAGCATTTTCTCTCATCTTATTTCATTGGCACTGAAAACCGTCTAACTTGGGTTCTTATTGTTAGAAAGCCAATTGGTCTAGTTAACTGGCCGAGAATAAGATGAGGGGCACTGTTCAGGAAGTAGACGTGAGTCATTTCTTCAATTATGTTCTTGGTCCCTCTCCTCCATTTTGAATATGAGCCATCCGATTGACCAAAGAAAGAAACTAGAAAAAATGTCCCTTTCCTCTCTTTCCATTGGTCAGTTACATATGAGATTCTGTTTCTTCTCCTCTCTTTTTTCCTCTTCTCTCTTAACTAAGAGCCTCGTTTTGGGGGCTGTATCTCTCCTACCATCTCTCCTGCCATTCTCTGTCAGGAAGACGTTATGCAGACACCACCTTGTCTGTCACACTTTGGCTTTCTAAAAGTTTAATAGGACGTATCAATACCCACCTTGATGTCCTGGACCAACTTGTGGGGGCTGGACTTCTACTGTAAGGATATGCAGAGACCATATCGTTCTTTCTGTGGTTTTACTTTAAAATTACTTTTGCCCTGGATGAGCAACTATCAGTGTCAGACTGTTTTCAAATTCACTAATAAAGAGTTTGATATCGGGAAGGTTCACTTCTTGTTCTTAAGCTCTAGCCATTTGCATGATTTTTGTATCAACCAGAGACTGAGGGACCAACAACCACAGACTGTGATGAAACCAGAGTGGATCAAACAGTCAGAGACACTCAGCAGCCAGGCCCCTTGTTGCTGCTCAGAGTTTGTGCTCAGCTCCCCCTGCAGCTCCCGTCACTGTGTCACTCAGGGCACAGTAGTACACAGCGGAGTCTGACTCTTGGACTGAGGCCTTCTCCAAGTGGAAGGAGGTGGTTTCTGTATCATATGTGGCTTCAAAACCATTGTCGCTTCCCTTCTCATTGGCCTTCGTGGCTCTCAGGAGGAGCCGTGGACCTTCTCCAGGATATTGAACATACCAGAAAAGGGTGGGATACCTGCTGGCTGAATAAGTACAGTTTATAGTCAGGGAAGTCCCTTCTGAGAGGGTCACTTGGCCTTCCATCTGGGTCACTGAGTCTCCATAGGTTTGTCCTGGGGAAAAATAAAAGAGATCTGTGTCACCTTGGGCATAAAGCTCTGGGATAAAATGGTGGTTAAAGATTGTGCCGACATAACGGAAGAAAGAATCCAAATTTTAAGAGGCATTTTACTTACCAAGCATTAAGAGTACCACAGTCACTAAGCCTGGAGCAGAGTTCATCTCTGGAGTATCGTCTAAATAACGTTCTTGATTCTTAACTTCAAGAAATGTTCAAGTCACAGTGAAATGATAAATGGAAGCCTACATTTCACTCAGGAAATATGTTTGTGTTAGGAAGCTGCACCCCCTGGTGGACAGGGGCTGAAATGCATGTTTCCTAGACTCTTCCCCAAGTCAGAAATATGTTCTCATCTCTGACCTCATTTATAAGGCACATGTCAGTCTTCAGGGGGTCCTTATAAATCTGAACAACAGCTATTGTAACATTTAAGGCAGATTTTGTTCTTAGGACACTAACTGACAGGGAAATTTTTTAACACAGCATCCTGCGGTATTTCTGTAACTGAGAAGATATCCATTTTCTTGAGCATTTTAATACAGTACTAAATATTCTCACGTATCCGTGTGAGTCAGCCTTTAATCCATTAGAATGTCAGAAAAGATTTTTGGGTTAAAATCACAGAAAAAGTTAAGGAGAGTCATTATTTAATAACTCTGTGTTTATCAGCAATGTAACCCAACTTATAGAACAGTGACTGACATTTATTATGTGCTCACTAAATATTTGTTGAATTAAATGAAAATAATAAACAGTCTTTCATAAAGGAATCACTACTACTTGAATTACAATATTTTCTCAGTCCTTAATAATATAAACTGTAAGGAATGCTATCTTCTTAATAAAAACTTTTTAGGAGAAAAATTCACACTATCTTATCAATAGTCAAATATTCCTGAATTCTGGAATTTAAGAAAAAGTAAAAAATATGAATTCTCAACAGAAAAAAACACCATAATTGAAGTTACTGAATCCCTGTAGAATGAACTGAGATCAATATCTTATTCTCCCACTATTCGTTGACTCTAAGATGAGGTGACTAGCCTGAGTGAATCAGGCAACGAGTACTAATCCCACACTCTTAGTGGAGATCTATCCTCAAGGATGCTATCACTGTTGTCTGTCTGCCAACATTTTGGTGCCAAACTCTAATCAAATAATTTTCCCCCACAGGGTAGTGGACCCTGAAGATACTGATTTGCCTCAAAAGCCTGGAGCCAAGTTAGGACTCTCTTCTTTCCCAGATTTTCAAATTGTTAAAGACACATCAGCTGATATTGATACAACAGCTGATAGTAGAATTAATGTGTGCGTTATCTAAAATTACAGATTCTGGGATCCCACCACTAACTTCATGGATCATATTTTCCAGGATTGAGACCCACTAATCTGTAATTTTTAAAAGCTCCACAGATGGTTTTGTTGCAGCCAGCCGGATACCGGCTGACAAGATTTCATTTGTGATAACTGTCTTAGACCAAGATGGTCTCTAAGATCATGGAGAAAGCTCTGGGTTCAGCAAGGAAAAATGTGCCCCGACTACACAAATTTTAAAAAATTGGTATTTTTCTATTATGTACCAGCAACAAAAGCAAGCACTTCTTTAACTCAATATTTTTATCGAAGGATAGTTGACGTACAATATTATATTAGTTCCAGTTGTATAACATAGTGATTCAACATTTATATACATTAGGAAATGATCACCGTAAGAAGTCTGGTAACCATGTCACCATACAAAGTTATTACAGTATTAGTGACTACATTCCCTATGCTGTACATCACATCCTAGTGATTTATTTATTTTTTATGACCATTCATTTTATAAAACAAAATAAAAACATCTGAGCATTATCAGGATGAAGTCCTGGAGAAGGACACATCTTTCTGTAAGGCCCTGTAAACATTTATCCCTAGATACATAGGTGGAGGCTTAGTTCAGTCTGTTTCCTGGAGTTCAGTCTCCACAGATGCAGTTCAAGAGGCTTCATGAGTCCAGAACTAACGTGTGAATAGTCTTCCAGATGTGGACTGAAGTAAGAAATTCAGGCCTGGATACTACTTGAGTTCACGTATCTCTTCCCTCCTCCTCCGCCTTCCAAATCACATTGTCAGAACCTGGCACGAATCTATGCGAGAAAGGAATTCTGCAAAAACAGCTACAAAATTCTATTCTTATATACAGAGAAGAGTGCAAAATAGGTTGGGATGATCCTGAGTTGAAAATAAACAGTATGGCACATGGATTTAGAAAGTTTTTATCTATACTTTAAAACAAAAAAAACAGTTTGAGGCCAATGAGAACCTACAAGAGGATTATTTTACATTTGGGGTCAAACAGTAGCACCTATACAACATTGAGGGAGGATATTTGTTAAATCTGGATTTTTTTAATGGCTTTATGGATGTACAATTTTCATAAAAATAAACTGAACCTATTTAAAGAGAACAATTTTATAAGATTTGACACGTGTATATTTGTGAAGTCATCACCACAATCAAGATATTGAGCATACGCATCACCCTGCAAGTTTCCTCGTGTCTCATCCTCTCAACTCTCTCCTTACCTGCCTCCCCATTCTCCCTCCAGGGAACACCTCTGCAATTGTAAATTAGTGTGTATATTTTACAATGTTATATAAACAGAATCATATGTAGTTTTGTCTGACATCTTTCACTCAGAATAATTATTTTGAGATTTCCATGGCTGGATAAGTATCAGATTCATTCCCTTTTGTTGCTGAAGTATTATTTACTTATATAGATATAAAACATTTTAGTTTTTGGTTTTTTATTCACCTGTTGGTATATATTCAGTCCCAGTTTGAGGCTGTTACAAATAAAGCTGCTATGAACAAGTGTGTAAATTTTTTGTATGGACATATGCTTTCATTTCTCTTGGGTAAATATCAGGGAGTGGAATGGCTGGATCATATGGCAGGTGTATATATGACTTTGTTAAACTTACTTTGTTTGACTAACATTTGACTTTGTTAAACTTACTTATTCATTCTAGTGGCTTTTTTTTTTTTTTTTTTTTGTAGATTCCCTTGGATTTTCTCCTCAGACAGTTACGCTGTCTGTGAGTAAAGACAGCTTCACTTCTCCCTTTCCAAACTGTATGTCTTCTGTTTCTTTCTCTTGCCCAATTGGACTGGCTAGAATCTCTAGTAAAGTATTAAATAGAAGTGATGAGAGTGAAAATTCTTCCTTTATTTCTGATTTTAGTGGGAAAGCATTGTCTTTCACCATCAAGTATGACATTTGATGTAGACTTTTTGTAGAGGCCCATTGTTAAGTTGAGGAAATTCCCTTCAATTCCTAATTCACTGGGAGTTTTTATTCAGGAATGGCTGCTGGATTTGCCAAATGTTTTTTCTATACCTACTGACGTTACCCTCATTCATCGATCATCTGCTACTGTTACCCAACCAGGTTTGTTTTTCCCGCCGTATGATTACGCCAGTCATCAAGATGAGGAGTTTGCAGCAGATAAAGGGTTTAATTCACAAGGCAGCCAAGTGATGAGATGGAATAAAATTCGCCTCCCTAAAATTCAAATTCAATTCAATTCAAATGTCAAATTCACCTCCCTAAAAAATGGAGATTAGGGATATTTACGGGATAAAGGGCAGGGTGGTCTGAAGTGTGGGAATAGATGATTGGATGTAAGGAGAAATGAGGTAATTGATGATCTGCACAACAGTAGTCAAGCTTTATTGCTCTTCATAGGATGCATGTTCAGAAATGGCGGTGGTACCATGAACTAAGAGTGGGGTTTTCAGCTCCTTGATGTCAAAGGGTCACCTATGGGTCATCTGCACAAGTTGATGAGTCGGTGGTCTTAACCAGCCTGAACTGGACAAGGAGTCCACTCTCAGTTCCTGAAAAAGTCAAGCATCCGTTACCATTGTGACTCAAGTGTCAGAGACGTTGTCTGTAGGGTGGATTTTAGTAACGCATCATCTAACTACTTTTGCAAACAGGCAACTAATTGAGTATAGTTAAAGCAAGTTGGCCCAGGTTTACTACTTGTCAATTTCCTTGGATACATTATTGATAATTTGTCACAACAAATATTAAAAAAGATATCACTCTCCCATTTTCCAAATAATGAAACAAAACTCACAAGTGTTCAGCAAGAAGGGGGCAGAGCTAATACTTTTTTTTTTTTTTTTTTTTTTTTTAGAGCTAATACTTTTGAACATATCTCTCTGATAAGAAAACCCATGTTTTCTGTTTTTAACACTGTGGGTTGTTTTAAGAGAAAATTTGAGTAACAAGATGGAGGGTAGCAAAATTACCTCTTCTCAAGCCCTTGAAATATTTTAAGACAGTACATTAACAAGTTCTGTATTCATCCACATCAATATACTGGAAAAATAATTAAATAATTGCAGGTTTGGCTCTCTCACAAAAGGATGCAAAAAAAAATATTATAAAGAATACACAAACTACAATTCAGGAGCTGCCTACCAGATAGTGGCATGAACATTCCTTTCAGACCAATTATTAGGCACCTGACTTCAGTAATGCACTGTAGCAAGAATGACAAACTCTTGGGGTCGGCCTGGTGGCACAGTGGTTTAGTTCACGTGCTCTGCTTTGACGGCCCAGAGTTTGTGAGTTGGGATCCCAGGCACAGACCTACATGCTGCTCATCAAGCCATGCTGTGGTGGCATCCCACATACAAAACATTGAGGAAGATCAGCACAGATGTCAGCTCAGTGCAAATCTTTCTCACCAAAAAAAAAGAGCAACAAACTCTTCTCAGCTTTTGTGAACCACCAGGGTACTTGGACTTCATTCATGACCAGTGATCACTCTCTCTCTCTGTTCCATGAGACTTGCTTGTGATAAAGCAGTCTAGAGCATAGTTCTTCAAATTAACGGGTATAAATGTTTCTCATATATGAGATTGTAGCTGGGTCCTTCCCATATGAATACATTATTTAAACCAGGGTTTGACCTTCTCATAACCTGTTACAGTTATGAAGCTTTATTTCCCAAGGTTATAGAGTGTTAGAGACAGAAATGAGAATAATTTTCAGATACATTCCAGGAATCTGAAGAGTCTATATATCCTATAAATTTGAACCATAGTTACTGGCCCAGCACTTTCTAGAACAAAACTTGGAGCAATGAAATGAAAGACAAATATATAAGCAGTAATATGGAAGCCAAGACTTCCATATAAATATGGCTAAATAAACTCACCATTTTCTACTTATCCTGACAGAAATAATTGAAATGCAACAAGGAAATTAA